AGGTGTTTAGAGATAATCCAGGCAGAGAAAAAAGGCAAAGGGAAAGGAGGAGGGGAGGCTATGAGGGTGCAGAGGAACTGAGTCCTTATGTGAGACACAGAAGGGAACACAGGTCACACGTTCCTAGTTCCACACACTCCTGTCAGAGAGGGAGACTGTGCCGCTGAGGTTGGGCCAATGCCGCAGGTGGGCACAGTGGTGCCAGGTGTATGGATAAAACGTCCTCTCATCCAGTACAGTTTTCAGGTATTATGGAGGACAATATACGATGAATGCTATGCTTATGCTCTATGAAATAGTATGTTAAATCAGTGGTTTGGAATTTGTTTCATGAACCATATTTATGTCTTATGTTTTGCACTGTGTCTGAGGGAAGACAATGAGAGAGGTTACTCTCAAAGCACAAGTGTCAAACGGGAGAGAGTGAGATGGAAGGAGAATCAGAACGTCACGCTGGGCCCAGGGTGCCCTTCTTCAGTTCAACAGTCATTGTTCTCTAGTGGGAGACAAGGGGGAAGGTGCTTGGCAACCAGGGCTTCAACTCATAGAGCATCAGACAAGGGGCGTCCTAAGTGACCCTGCAGCTCAGATGGGCTGATCTCTTCATACGGGAAGCACAGGGATGCTGAATGCTGACGCCCACATGGTATCCTACCAGGGGAAGCCCTCCTTGTTTAGAGCCAGGAGAAGTAGTTAGTAGTTGTCCTTGTCCACAGAAGGAGGAGGTCATACAGAGATGTCCTTCTCAAGTCCTATCGACGTGAACTTCCTAAAGTATCTCTGGTGGGACTCAGGCCCTGGACTCTGTCTTTTTAAGAACCACCCTTGACCTCAACATCAGCCACAATCAAATGCTTGCTGAGAAAAAATCTTAAACTGATTCCTGAGAGGGCATCTATTATACAACTAATTGTTTAATTGTGTAGCTTAATCTCAAATATCTTAAACTTGTTTACTTGTAAAATAGATCAACAGGCTTATACAATCTTGAAGTTTCCTTTCAGTTACTTGAAAAATGAAAACAAACAAAACAAAAGAATTCTACAGTAATATTTTTAGGATCTATTAAGTTTTGAATTGGGGAAAGATAGACATACACATCACAGTCTCAGATGCTAAAAATAAACTGAGCAATCTTTATCTTTGTATACTACTCATAATGTTAAAAAATAATACAGATATTCAATTTGAGAAAAAATATGAGAACAAGAAAATTAAAGGCATTTCTTTTAAGAAACTAAGTAATTAAAAACAGGTAAATGTGGAACTTTGTATTTCACAATAAATCATATGTATTACACAAATATAAACATGTCTTATAAATCTAAAAACATAAATGGAGTTCTCTATAATGTATAGAGTCTAGCTTTGGGGGTTTTATAATCTCAATAATATATATCACAGAACGAAACATTTAAAAAATTCATAATAC